CCAAGCCAGGACTGATTTGATTTGTTCAATCAGTCAGTCATCATAAATCGAAAATTGGGAAACAACAAATGGACAGAGAGAATGATTATAATCCATGTCTCAGTCCATATGATATCTAGAATGGAGGAATATATGATCCCTTATCTAATGGACAAGTCATTGACAAGGTCAGAGTTCGACAGCGGCTTTAAGAGCTACGATTGCCAGTTAGGTTTTGAAGTCATACTCAATAATAGTTTTAGACTTATCCAAATGGGAGACTGTTGGATTAAATTCTAAGTCCATAACTATTTTGGTATGTAATTGACCCGACCGGCATGGTCCATTTGGGTTGCACTTCACCACACGACACAATTTATATGGATAGTCTTTTGAGAATAGTATATTTATGATTTAATATAATATAATATAAGTTCTAATATTAATATGGAAGCATATTATTTAATTAGTATTGATCAAGAATTAATTTAGAATTAATTAAGTGATCAAAAAGAACTAATTAAATATGGACTCTTAAATATATGGATGGGCCAAGTTCATTTAGGTTGGGCTAGCTTTCATGGATGGTCCATGGAGCTTTTAACCATGGATCTATGTAAATGAAGGTCATGGGTATTAGGGTTTACATGGATGTAACCCTAATCCTCCATAATATATAAAGGGGTCCTTGGCTCACAAAATTGGCACAAGTGTGTGAAAATAAGAGTGGACCGATTTTAGTGTGCATACATATTCTCTCAAGTTCTTCCAAGGTGTTTTGGTGATTTGTGATTCCATTTGAGGCTTCACACACTATGGGGGGATAAGCTCTTAAAGGTTGAAGACATCAAGCTACATCAAAAGGTATGCCATCTAACTAGAACTTTGTAGTATAGGTGCTTCATAATGCTAGTTAGGATGAAACCTTGGAATAGTTAATATTGCATGTATAATAGAGAAAACATAGATCCAAGGTTTATAGGGTTGCATGTACACCATAGGAGTGTTAGAATGCTCAAAACCCAACAACACTTTGGGGGAAAAAGCGTCCCGACCCACCGAGTCACCTAAGTGGCTTGCTGAGTCCCTCTTTGTCCAAAACTATACAGTCGATTTCATTGGGACTTAATACATCACAATCATGGATCTGACCTCCTAGGGTCCCTTTTATACGTAAAGCTACGAAACTTGATGTCCATGCTGGGGTTTTTGGCTCAAAGGCTATAAAATGGGGTTTATATGATGCATGGGTCTCCCATGGCCAAAAGTTGGCACCTTTATGCCATGGGAACCCTCAATGGTTCCAGATCTGAAGCACAACCCACATATACAAGCAAAACTGAACATAGCTTCTCAAAAGCTTAGAAAAGGTGGAGAAATAGCCCCAAAACAAGATCTAGGAAATAGATGGTCAAGGTTCAAGCTTTTTACCTTGAATGGACTGAGAATGAAGCAAAACCTTGGGATCTACTAGCTTCCTCTTGATCTCCTAAGCTCTCTTCTTCTCCTTCAACTTCAAACACACACAAAAAGGCACCAAAAGAGCTCAAATCACTCAAAAATGGTTTAGGGTTTCAATCTACGGTTTCTCTGAGTTGGGAGGGTGATGGAGGTTGGGTTGGGACGAGATAAAGTGTTTAAATAGGGTGCAAACCCTAAATATTAGGGTTTTGTCCAGACAGCTCCTACTCGTCGAGTAGGTCACTTAAACCCCCGATCCAACAGTCGAGTCTACTCGACGAGTTGGGCCTCCAACTCGCCGAGTCCTAGAGTAAATTGTAACATTTCAATGAAATTAAATACGTACCAGGAATCGGGTGCTACATGTTCTGTGGGAGCTTTGAATAGATCAACAGACCGTTGAAAACACATATGATCATAATCATCAACATAAAACAATCCATGCTTAACCTCTCCGATAAAGAGATGTTGAACACAACTAACTCCCATTGGCAGAGAATTGTTGATATAGGCGGTCCCATAAGGTAATAAGTACTTTGGGTGCTTAGACTTTCTTCCATATCTAGAAGAACTTGGAGCAGATGACGGAGGAGTTGTATCAGGAAGATGAAGCAAGTTAAGATTTGTAACCTTATTTATCATTAAAATAATAGGAAGTTTGAGCTCATGTATAAGAATTCCTTTGTGGATTTTGATGATGTTTTGAATTTCCAACCACTCGATGTACCCGTATTTAACACGTTGGGATACAAGAATTCGCTCAAGGTATTCTCCTTTGGAACCCCTTTCTAGACAGGTTCAGGGTGAGAATTTTATGTCCCTTAGGCTTTGAACACATAAGCTTCACAATAGGAGTAGGAGAGACTCTTCTTAGGAAGACAACAAAGTATGTAGCACGATCAATTTTGTTGAGAAATTCTTAAACTTTCTTCTTCTTGTCAACCTCAGCATTGAAGTGTTGAATTGCTTCCCTATGTTTATTTGTGCTTGTAATTGGGACACCAACCGATGAGTTCTCGGTGAGTAAATAGGTCAGGAAAGGGAACCAATTGCCCCTTTCTTTTCATTATAGCAATGGGGGCCTTGAATGCAGTGATGACTAAGGCATATGACTTAGGTATTTTCACTGGGATTTATTTTCCTAACAATGGTGCTCCTCTCTCTCCCTCTCTCATCTTTTCTCCGCGGATGATGCTCTCTTCATTGGTGAGTGGTCTTAAATAAATTTATTGAACCTTGCTAGGATCCTACGGTGTTTCAATCTTGCCTTGGGCCTAAAGGTTAGTTCTTTAAAAGCCGTGCATTTGGGATTAGGGTGGTCCAAAGCGAAGTAGATATCTTTTTGTCCATTTTCTTCACTGTCAATCCTCAGTGTTGTCTGTTTCTTATTTGGGTTTACATGTAGGGAAATGTCTCTGATTAAAAAATTAGATCAGGTTATGGAGAGATATCAAGCGAGGCTATCCTCATGGAAGGCTAAATAACTGTTGTTTGGTGGGAGTATTGCATTGATAAACTCGGTTCTAAGGAGTTTTCCCTTATTTTACTTTTCTCTCTTCAAAGCTCCCTTGAAAGTCATTGATGAACTGGAGAAAACTAGAAGAAAATTTTTATATGGCGGAAGCAACTTAAAAATAAATTTTGTTGGATTTAAATGGGATAAAGTCTTAACACCTAAAAAAACTAGGCAGTCTTGGGGTAATTAGCTTACGAGCTTCAAATTTTGCCTTGTTGTCTAAGTGCCTTTGGAAGTTAAAAATAGAACCAATTGCTCTATGGTCAAAATTGATTGTCTTAATGCATGGTTTAAGAAGGTCCTAGAAACTGTTCCCCATTAGACTGGGTTCCTCGGGTGTTTGGAAAAATATAGTAAGCATAAATTCAGAGTTGATGTCTCAAAATCTTATTCTTCTGGATCTTTTCAAAAAAGAGCTTGGTTGTGGGAACTTAACCTCGTTCTAGTTTGAAGTGTGGGTTGGAGACACATAATTTAAAGACAAATTTCCACTTCTCTTTAACATCGAATCGTGTAAACAATGCTTGATTGTTGATAGATGTTCCAGAGTTAATCGTGATCTTGTTTTCACTTGGAATTGGAGTAGGTTGCCTTGCTCTGATGTGAAATTGGACAAATTAGATAGATGCATAAATGAGGTTACTAGAGTAGCCATAAACTCATATGGTGATTCTTGGAGATGGCTTGGCTGCTCCTCTGTAAGCTTGATGTGTGGCCTTTTAGAAGTGCAACTTTTCCATCCACTACCTTATAATCATTTTTGGAATAACCTCATCCCGATCAATTCTAATTTCCTTGGTTGGAGAGTTGTTCTAAACTGACTGCCTTCCAAACTTGAGCTTGGAAAAAGAGGAGTGGGTTTGTTTTCTATTACGTGTGAGGTGTGTGGCTTAGAAGACAAATCATTCTTTCAATTGTTTTGGGAATATAATTAGGTTAAGGAGTTATGGAAGCTATTTTTAAAATTGGTGTGACCTTGATCTCTCCAACATTTTGTCCATTGAGGAGCTCCTGGCTAGGGATTTCCCATGTGTTTTAATAAATCTAACCCAACGAAAGGTATCATATGCATTGAGTTTATCTATTCTTTGGTTAATTTTGCGGGCTAGAAATGAGCAAACCTTCAATAATAGTGCATTTTCTCTTGTCCGGATGTTTGATGACATCAAGGTGAATGTTTTCTTATGGGTTAAAAATAGAAGGAAATATTTTTTTATAAATTGGTTGTTTTAGTATTTTTTTTTTATTTTTTTTAAATCTTTGTTGTTGTTTGTTGTTTTTCCTTTTGCCTCTAGCTTCTTTGCTAGTGGTTTTTATAAAAGTTCACTGATCAAAAACAAAAACTAAATGTTTTTTTAGCTACGTAATAAAAGAAGCAAGTTTAAATCATCCACTGTGTCTCCTAAACTTTTTTTTCTTTTGAACCGGTAATACAAATATTATAATCTACTCCTACACTAACACCTAATTCCACCTATGTCCACCACGGGACTTGAACTCTCAACTTCAAGGAGGGAGGGCACCACCTGATACCGCTGGGCTAGAAGCCCTTTGGTTATACTGAAAACTTCATATACAATATTTTAACTAATTTCTCAAAATAGTTTCGGCCAACCCCCAATTTATATTTATAAGACATTAATTGAGAATTAATGCACTTCTATTTATTTAGGCTCTGTCCCGTTATTTATTTCCACTTGACACATCATCTCATTGCACCCACACATTCAACCGATCAACTTTTTTTTTAACATTTTTCATACAAATATGACATGAAATCGCAAATTACTATATTTGAAAAAAAAAAGTACTAAAAGAGATGTACAATATGAAAAACACCTTGATAGCATACTACTCTCGAGAATTGTCTCATTTATTACATGTAATTTGAAATTAAATGTAATCGTTGCATTTAGTAACACGTTAAATTCGAATTTAAGACGCATCAATTAAACAACAATGCACCAAATATATTAGTTGAAATGACAAGATTATCCTTGATGTGAGGAAATGACGAATTTACCCATGGCATATTCTTTTCCATATGACTCGATTACCTTCTATCGCACGCCTCTTTCTTTCTTCCTCACATAAAGAGCGAGACTCTCACACGCATCTCCCTCCATTTCTTGTCAACACCTTCCTCCTTCTCAATCAAAATTCCACCACCACCATGTCCGCAGATCTAGAATTCCGGTTGCAAGACCTCCCTGCAATTCAGTTAACGTCTCTTACACTCAAGCTTCCATCACAGGAACAGGAATCGTCAGAGGAATCATGCAGAACTCAATCAGAACAAGTTGAAGAATGTGTAACGCCGACGTCGCCGGAGCACAGGATTCCCGAAATTCTCAGCTGTCCTCCGGCGCCTAAAAAACAGCGGCATGGCGCCCCTCCTTCCTGCAAAAGAAGGCTGACTGAATTTCAGTTCTTCGAGGTTGTTGCTAGAGACGAAATTGATTCCTTCTTCAGGTCAAGCTATGAATTAATCAACCGAAATTCGTCCAAAAAGCGGAGGTGCCCTCTGTAAATTTTTTTATTACGAGAATTCATTCAATCTCGAGTTCATGATAGTATGAATTCTCTTCTATAAATATGTATGTAATTTTTCCACACGTCTCTTGTTAATTTCTTATGATATGTCAATTCAATTCACATCACGTTTAAATTGAAATCCGAATTTAGATCTGAATTATAGATTTAACTTGATCCTTTTAAGATTCACCCGATTTATTTTTCATGATTGAGAATTATCGAGATTTATTCCGAATTATGCTTTAGATTTTTCAAACAGATCTGAACAACGTTCTTCATGATTGTAACTTACAATTCTGTGTCTGTTATCCATCGAGGGTATTTCTAGGATTAAATTATCGAATTTCAATCTTCATTTCATCATAATTAATCATCACTTCCATTCTTACAACAAGATCCTTTTTTGAGAATTTCTCCATCAAGATAAATCATATGATATATTTAAAATCATACACAACACACGATTTTCGATTCAAATGGAAGGGATTTAAAAGAATAAAAATAGCAAACTGAATAAGATAAAACTGGTCCTAATTATGGAACAATGAGTACTGTTTAGTCATTTTGTTTGTTTCCGGAATGAACAGGACCCATGCAGAGCTGTCTGTGTGTTGCTTGCTTGTACTTGGCGCCTGAGTTTGTATGCAAAATTAGTTTATTCCAACATAGATGCAATTTTCCAATTAAATATCTTAATACTTACTAATAAAAAAAATAAAATTAAAAAGATTTATGATCGATTATTTAATTTATTGTAATAACGTTATTACTGTAATTAAATCTTGTTATAAGTATATATATTAGCTGCTAGATGTGTAAAAGAAATGAAGAGTGAGTATGAAGAAAGTGAAGTGATGATGAACATGTGGTGTGGTGGTCAGAATGAGAACTTAGAAGTCACGTTAGAATCAATGGATGCCAAAAAGTGGCAACCATGTTTATACAACTTTCTTCTTCACTATTTCTTTCTATATTTATATAATTCGTTTATAAAATTATATAATAATGTCTTTTAAGGAATATTGATTAGTAAGTGTTGCAAATAACAAAAATTAAGGACACTAACTATATCAAATAAAACTATTGATGATTTAATTGTAATCAATTAAAATTGTAAATGGCATCATCCTCGTCCCCAACTCCAACCATAAGTTCAACCACCCAGCTCACCTATGGATAGACTAAATGACAAAAAGATATTCATAAAGTAATTATAAAGTGTCATTTTAATAACACGATAAGGAGATACATATCATCATATTTAAGAAAAAAAAATTAATCTTAGATATAAAAATTATTCAAAATGCAACTATATTAAATTATTGAACGGATCCCATACATATAACTAATACTGATTATTTATTATTATTTTATTATAATCATTGAAATTAGTCAAATTTATCAGAAATAAAAACGTGTTAGTCTCTTTTTTCGTGTACATATAAAATACACATACATATATATACTTATATATAATGAGTCGTACAAATCACCGGATCAGTGTATAACAAAATATTAATCTCTAGAAGTACATGTTGAGTTATCTACGATTAAACGAAATCTAAAATATACAAATAAGTTTTGTTTACATCCAAAATGTTTATAATATAATTAAACTTTAACCAAATAAATTATATAAAATATCAACATTTTGATTCCTTTTAAATTAGTATTGATCTTGTTCTATTTTCTTTTGATATAAAAAATATGTTTATTTAATTGGGAAAGTAGTTATATTTGTTGCAAGCTAGAAAGAATGTACTTGGAACTTGGAACTTGGAAGCAAATGGGGTTTATTGATATTTGACTTTTTTACACATTGGAAAGTAACATGAATGGTCCAAGGATAACTTTTTCTTATATTTTATTTGTATTTTGTTAAATGAATTATTTCTTTTTAAAACAAAATAATTGGTTTAGAATTTAGAACTTAGATCAGAATATATATCTAAACTATTATAAATAAAAAAATAAATAACTACGTATTTTGTTCATTAAACTTCATATTTTGTGAATTGTGGGCTAAGCCAGCAACCACCGTCGTGACCCATCACCATCAACCGCCGCAACCACCCGTCGTCAACCACCCTCATCAGTCAGTTATGACTACATATCGAATGGGTGGTCGAAAGAAAGAAAGATAAAAGGAAAAGAGGAAGATCATGTGGGTGATGGGATTGGGTTACCAAATACGCTATCCATCCACATGTGAGTGATTAATGAATCTTTCCATGTGAAAGTCTTTTCTAGTTTGCATAGGATTCCGTGAACGCCGTTATTCTTTAAGAAAGGATCCCTATGTGATATTTTCTTTTCGTTTTTAAATGCAATATGGGTTATGTATGGACTTATTCAATTTTTGTAATTAATATTAGAGTATTATATATGATTATAATTATTAAAATAATATTCCTTTATACAATTAAAGTAGTTAGTTTTCAACTCCTTTTACTTGTTTTTCTTTAGTTGAATTTTGCTAAAATGTAATTCAGATCGACTTATTCATAATTAAATAGATCTAAACCATTACAATTAATTGTAAATATTTATCCAATTGTTGATAATTTCTATTTAACTTTCTTTCTGTGATACACACAGATTTTTCGTTTTTTTCAGTTTACCTGTTTGTCTTATTCCCATATGTTGAGAACAATTCATTATTGTGGAACCTCACTTAGTTTTATCCAATACATAAATTCAACACAAACTAAATGATCATGATGTTATCGGTGTCACTAGAAATCCAAAACATGGTCCACATATACCAATTACTTGAACACTTTACAAACAATAATCTTTTTAATATTTCACAATTTGTTGAATAATTTTTAAAAATGTCTTCTAATGATTACATGAACAAGGGAGTTGACTAAAAACTTTGCAAGACTTTTCAATTGATCGTAAGTTTTACAAGTCCCAAAACTACTCTTATCTACCTTTCTAATGCACTAATTCCACCCCGCTATACATGAAGCGTTTTAGCGACCAAAATGCTTTTAGTAGCACTTTTATGTCATTTTTACCAATGCGTTATACGCATTGTATACTTGTAGAATTGGGATCACAACTTTTATATTTTAATGCAAACATTTTCAAATAGTATTTTATTTACCAATTTCACAATACAAACAACCTAATGGAGGGGTTTTGCAACGTCAGTTTGAAGAGCTTGATTCTTTGTTAGCTAACTTTGTGTTTTCTAATGATGGTGATGTTTGGCGTTGGAGTTTAGATGGTTCAAACTCGTTCACGGTTAAACATACTTGATGCGTTATTGATTACGTGAGTCTCTCGGATGGAATTATTGAGACGATGCGGTGTAGCTACTTTTCTAGGAAGGTTAATATTCTTGTTTGTCGGACTTAGTTGGATCGTCTCCCGACGAGATGGAATCTAAGTCGAAAAGGTGTTGAAGTGAATTCTTTGATGTGTCCTCTTTGTTCGTCTAAACCTGAAGAGGTGGATCATTTCCTATGGTCTTGTGAGTTGGTGTCCTCTCTTAGGCTTAAAGTGTTGCGGGAATGTAAGGGTGATGGTGGAAAATCGGATTCCTTATGTATCGTGTAAGTTCACTTTCTGAACTGATATTTCCACACTATGTCTAGGTTACAGGAAATCCACTAAGATAATCTAAAAGGACACTTGTGTATCTAGGCACAGAAACACAAGTTAAATCGCCAGATAGTTATGTATTCGTTTTTTTTAAGAAGAGATGAGAAAAAGGGTTCTCTATACGGCTCAAAAGATGAGTCGTATATATGCATGACATATTAGGGTTTAATCTTCTAAATTAGTTAGCAGAATCTTGAATTTAATGGCATAATCAATGGTTTCCAAAACTAATGAGATTTGTCAATTTTACCATAATCACCCACTAAAATTCGGTTTTCCAAAATGAAACTAATTCAAATTTTTGAAGACATTTTGGGGCGCTGCCCCAAACCCCATAGGACCACCGCCAGGGGCTCTGCCCCTTGGACCCGCTAAGGGTGCTACCCCTAGGACCCTGCAAAGGAGCGCAACCCCCTTGACCCCCGCCTATATGTTGTATCGGCTTACAATTCGATCTTATACATGCATGCACTCCACAGTCACCGAACATGTAATGTAGAGTACAAATAATAAGCCCCTTAGCTCACATGTTAGTTCCAATTACCCAAAATGTCTGGTGACACTAAAATCACCAACAATCCTCCCCCATTTTAGTGTAACCCATGAACTAACATAAAACTATCTAAACAAACATCAAGTTGAGAGCTTCATACCTCAAATAGCTTGCAAAGTTGACGATGGTTCTGGATCTGCAAGCTCAAGCCACACCAAAGCAACCTCCAAGTGTTCTTCTTCCTTCAAATCACCAAAAACACCACCCAAACTCACTTCCAAGCTCAAAACTCACAAATGGCACTTAGGGTTTCGTTCTTAGGGTTTAGGGGAGTGGAGGCTGACCAAAAGATACCACCAAGGCAACATAAGTTGTTTAAATAGGGCACAAACCCTAAAAATTAGGGTTTGTCCCTGCTTAGCGTATGCCCCACGTACTCCCACGTACGCCCAGCGTACGTGGGCGCATCCGCGACCAACTAATGAGCCAGTACGCCCAACGTACTCGGCTAGGGACTAAAATAAGAAGAATTCACATTAAGGGTTAAAAAGGAACATACCACTAAATCTCGAATGTTACATTGACTTTCTGGATTTTGCACTTCATTAGTGTCAAAAGTCATATCCTTAGGCCTTTGAATTGATGAGAAACGCATATCATAAAAAATCGCATCATGTGACTCGATAACGGTGTTAATTAGTACCGAATCATTAGATTCTATTACATAGAACCTATATGCCTTGGAATGTTCAGCATATCCAATAAATATGCAATATATTCCATGTTCTATCAAAGTTTTTCTTTTGGGCTTGGTGAGTTTTACAACTGCCCGACATCCCCAAACCTGAAAATAGCTCAAATTTGACTTTTTCTGGAACCAAATTTCATATGGGATTATTTTGTTCTTTTTATTTGGAACCCTATTTGGCAAATAACTGGCCGTTAACATGGCCTCTCCCCATAATCCCTCACTCAATCCCGAGTAAGAAAGCATCGATTTTATCATTTCTTTTAAAACTCGATTTTTGCGTTTGGCGATTCCATTTTGTTGGGGGCGAGTATGGTGTTGTGGTTTCATGAATTATACCCATTGACTGAAAGTATATGGGATCCATATATTCACCTCCCTGATTAGTACTAAGACATTTAACTAGATTGCCTAATTGTAATTCCTCCTCGGTTTTGTATATTTTGAACTTTTCCAATGCTTCATTTTTAGCATTAAGCAAATACACATAGCAAAACCGAGTACAATCATCAATGAATGTGACCATATACTTTTTATTTCCCAAGGACAGAGTAGAGTGGAAATCACGCAAATAATTGTGTACAAGTTCCAAAATAAGCCGATTTTTTAGAAACATTTGGAAGGATGTTTTATAACTTTTGTAAGCATGCATGTTTTACATTTTTCCAGATTCATGTCAAAGGGTGGGATTAGACCATCTTTTGACATTTCATGCATCCTTCTAAAATTGACATGACTCAATCTAGCATGTCATAGCATAGAGTCATCAATTTTAGAAGAAGAAGATGACACAAAAGCAGAATTTCGAATAAGTGACAATTTATCAATAACATTTGAATGAAACATTCTATTATTCAAATATTTAAAACCAATAAACAGTCCACCTCGAGATAGGATATACCTATCTGATTCATAAACCCGTTTATAACCATCAGAATTCAAACTACTACCACTAACAATATTCTTTCGAATCTTATGAACAATTAAAACATCAAAAAGCTTAATAGTTTTTCCATAAGTAAACTCTAAACAAACGAAACCGACACCACAAAAATGTTTAAAAGAATCGTCTCCCTTGTGGAACACAGATCCATCTTCAAGCGGTGTTAATGCTTCAACCAACCGTTCATCCTTGCATGCATGGTTTGTTGCACCACAATCGATCCACCAGACAATATCATCATCCTGTACATAGAATGATTCAGGAATAAGTGAAACATGATAAACATAATTCTTATTAGAATTATCAAAGTTAGTCAAAAACTAACCTCCTTTCACTTGGTCCTTGGAGTCATTTCCACTTCCATTGGCTCCACTGGTTCCAGCACCATTGTTGCCAAGATTCACATGACAATCACGCTTGTAATGTCCCACTTTGAAGCACCTCCAACAAACCAGTTCCTTTTTCTTTTTGTTGGAGTTATTTGGGACATATTCCTGCTTGCATTTGCTATGTCCTTTCTTGTTTGGATTTCTTGGCTTGGTTTCAACCACATGAACTAAGGGTTGTCCAGATTCAACTTTTCCTTTGTTTTTGTCACTCTTTTGTGCATGAAGGGATTCTTCAATGCACAAATGACTACCAAGTTGAACCATAGAAAGTTCCTCCTTTTGATGTTTCAGATTATGTTTGAAGTCTTTCCATGATGGTGGAAGTTAGTCAATTATACTTGACACAACAATGGTTTCATCCATATTCATGTTGTGCAGTTTGAATTGACCCAAAATGAGAAAGAGTTCCTGGTATTGTTCCATGATAGATTTTGAATCAACCATTTTATAGTTATTAAAATCACTGACTAGAAACTTCTTGCTAGAAGCATCATCAGCCATGTATTTTGATTCAAGAGTGTCCCGAAACTCCTTTACACTTTTAGCCTCACTATGGATATCGAATAAAGAATCAGTCATGCCATTCAGAATTTGAACTCTGCAGATGTAGTCATCGTTATCCCACTTGCTCATCTTCTTGGTCTCTTCCAATGTCTCGTTCTCCACCATTTCTAGCCTTGGAGTACTCAGCACATACGCAGCCTTCAGTGTAGTTAGTATGAACAAAATCTTGTTCTGCCAGCGCCTAAAATAATTTCCTTCAAACTTTTCTAGTTTTGTGAACATTGTGGTTAACTCATGGATTGATTCTGCCATCTCCAATTGACGAAGATATCGGTTTGATTGTTGGAGGAATAAAAGGGTGATGGTGGAAAACCGGATTCCTTATGGATCGCGTGATTTCACTTCCCGAACTGATATTTCCACCCTATGTCTGGGTTATAGGAAATCCAGTTTAGGATAATCCAAAATGACACTTGTGTATCTAGACACAGAAACACAAGCAAATCGCCAGAGTTCTATATTC